GTGATGCTTGCAAATTGTGTTGTTCATGGTGATGCTTGTCTTGCTCATGGTGATGCTTGTGGTGCTTATTGTGATGTATGTCTTGCTCATTGTGATTGTTGTCTTGCTCATGGTGATGCTTGCAAATTGTGTTGTTCATGGTGATGCTTGTCTTGCTCATGGTGATACTTGTGTTGTTCATGGCGATGCTTGTGCTGCTCATGGTGATGCTTGTCTTGCAAGTCAGTGGGAATGCATTCATGTCCAATCATGTGATTGCTGGCTAAAAAATTCATACACAACTCTTTTAATTCTTGAATCATTGAGTTGCTTGTAAATTTTATTCTTACTTWAACATTATTACTTTTACCTTTTTCCGCCGGTTACCCAGCAGTGCTAGAACTGCTTTTCAACAATCGATTAAATATCTAGCTGRAAACACGCACAATCCAGTTCTTGAACATAGAAACCAAACAAGAACGTAGATCACTCGCGGTTCTTTTATTCACACTACAGGTCATTCTCGCAGCTGGTGAAAAAGAGAACAATTACATTTTAGATTTYATAGTCAGAGTTCAAGATGTCTACGGAGCTGTCAACGATACTATTTTCAAAATAAAGGTATATTTCTCTCTTTTGCTTTCCCCTGCTCTGCTCTTCTCTTTTATTTCTTTCCTTCTCTTCTCTTCTCTTCTCTTCTCTTCTCTTCTCTCTTCTCCTCTCAATCCCCTATTTCTTTTTTCTTCTTTAATATCTCATATTTCAAAAATATAGTACTAAATTTACCCGCCAAAGTTTCATGCAACACAGCCTGCCTTTTTYGTACATACATTCTTAAAGAAGTTGGTATTTTTATTACAGGTCAAGCCACTTTCCGGAAACATCACGTCTAAACGACTTTTAGGCTTCGTAGGTGAACTCGAAAGCAACATTGCTCGAGGAGATATAATGGGTGCAGTTCAATTGACAACCGTGCTTGGTAGCATCGTCAACAACAAGGACCACATCACAGGAAGTGTGATGACAATTCAAGACAGAATACAGGTATGTAAAGATTTTGCTCTACGGGTGGTTGTTGGTTGGCAGATTTATAATTGGCACGCGCAAAGAACATTTAGCGTGRTGTTATGGCCCTTTTTTTCTGACTGATATGACTGGGTTGAAGTCCCGTAACTTCACCTCACCTTGCCTTTCTCTCATTTTCTTTCCTCCCTTTGTTGTTTTCTTTTCCTTTTCTAGCCTTGASATATCAAGGGCGCGAAATCTAAATGTATCGCCTGCTATTTATCATAGTTCCAATTAACAGCTAACTTGACACCTTATTACAGGTTCGTACCGCCCTGACCCAAACAATGGATGGTGTTGTTCCTAGAGATATTCAAGCCGTAAGACAATTGAGTGGCTCACTTGAGCTGGTGGCCCAGGAATCAGCAGAACTATCGCTAGAAGCACAGGTAATGGGACGATCTGGACGACTATGAGAAAATTTAACGTTATTCAATCGAATGTACACTATACCTGATGTTGTCTGTATTGATCCCAAACTGCATTGATTCCCCCTTCACCCTGGCCGGCTATAATATGCGCGATTTTTCCTCTGTCCTTTTCCAATCGGATCCCTCTTCCTCCCTGGCATGTTATCCCCCCAAACTGCATTGATCCCCTCTCCTCCCTGGCCGGTTATCCCCCAAACAGCAATGCATATTCATGGGAATGTGAAAATGGTGGATACAACAGGCGCATCTATTTTTGATTTCTTTGATTAATCTAATTATCGTGAAAATTTTTTCCGTCAGGAATCCTCCCTCTCTATATACAAACGCGCTGTAGAAGTTATTTCTAAAAGCGCAACGGATGTTGAGCYAGCACAAATCGAGATCGCTTCTCAGAAATCGCTGTCAACCATGAGTAGTTTCATCGCTGCTGCTTCATCAACCTCGGAGAAATTGTTCTCCACTCCTTCGGGAAATACTGCCAATCTTCATAAGGTGTGAACATGCTTTCTTAATATTGAAATCAGCATCTCAAATAGACCTCTTTACCTTCGTTGTTTGTTGTCCCATTCCAGTCCATGTGATGACATTYTTCTTTCATATGTAAATAGACCCCTTGCACTGAGTCCCRAGAGAAATTGTTCATGGGCCGGGAACAAAACAGTGGGAATTTTTGTTTTTGCATAAGAAAAGACGGCCTATTTAATGTTCATCACAATAGAAAAATTCTCAGGGGAATGTCACGTGGTCTAGAATGGGTAATTTGCATATGAAGGTAGAATAATTTATTTTCTTTGATCCTTCTAAAACAATAGATTATGAAAAATACTCTCCCAAATAACATCATTTAGCAATTTATCATATACCCCCTCCGGAAAAAGGAACATCTGGGATGCCATGGGATGGAAGGGCCACAATATGAACTCCTTGCCCCAGCAAATTTAATAGACCCCTTGCACTGAGTCCCGAGAGGATTTGTTCTGGGGGACAAAACAATGAACAATTCCTCTAGGAAATCAGTTCAGGGGGTCTATAGCCCACTTCATGAATGTGCTTCGCTTGTCACTCACGAAGGTCTATGTACGAGGCTACGTGCTCAATTAAATTTCTTCTTTTCTCCTGTCACGAACTGAGCTTTATGCACGACTGCCTCACATTGAATCCTTTGTGCGTGACAAGCAAAGCATATCTCGGAAGTGGGCTATAGCTTTTACATTTTAGTTTCTGAAGAGTTTCGCTTTTTGCATTGCATGTATGTTTTAGAAATAAAATATGTTATTGAATTCGTTCTTCTCTTTTTCCATTGTTTAGGCTCAAGCCGTAGCACAGGGCTTGTTACATCTGACTAACACTGTAGCAAACGCATCATTAGTCAACAAGCTTCCTGAAGAGAAAGAAACCGTGTTTAAATCCAAATACTTACAGTTGTCAGTCAAGAAAGTGACGTCAAATAATTTAGAAAAGGCTGAATTTAACACTAGTGGGAATGCACGGTTTGTTTTGCCTGAAGAAGAAGGAATGATACAAAGGATTGGTGACAGTGAAGTTAGCGCAGTGGTAAGTACTAATTGACAGAAAAATATAAAATTAGCTTTCAATACACATTGCAATTTTTCTACTTTTGGAAGGGGATCATATTCACCTTTTTGGAGAGTCATTTTCGACCAGGGAATCATTTTAATTCTAATAATGGCTCAAAACAACACCTTATCAATTGGCCAGTGTTGTTTGACTCTTAATGAACCTCTTTACCTTGGGCGTAATGTTTTCCCATTTTAGGCCACGTGTCATTTCCTAGAGTTTCATTTCTCTGTTTAACGGTTGTGCATGAGAAGAAACATGAATATGGATACAACTCAAGCAGAAGATGACGCCCAAACGAAATACATCTATTTCATAGTGTTAATGAATACTTCTAGGAGTTAAAGTACAACTCTTTAGTGTATAACTAAAASAGTGGCTTTGACTTCTTGTGTAGTCTAAATAAATACTACTCCTTTGAGAAAGTAACAAAGATTTCACAAAGGGTCGTCGGTAAAATGAAGAGTCGAACTGATGACTCTTTTGAAGGTGTCATTTTAGGGTCAAAAAATGACTCCTTTAAAAGGGGTCAAAAAGGTTTTACAGCTAGTATGACAGCTTCTGTATCTAATTAAGGTACATGCCTCGGTATTCTTCTATAATTTACTCCTCGCCATCTTCTTTAGATCTCTGAGATGAGTGTCAATCCGTTCAGTGGAACAAACTCCTCGCGCATGGTCAAGTCCTCAGCCATGTCTTTAGTCTTGATGGGTGATAACTATCAAGAACTAAAAATTGAAGGTCTTTTGTCTCCCATTGATATCTTTCTGCAAAACAAGGAACCACAAGAAGAGGTTTGTTAAGAACGTCTTCTATCTTTTTTTTAGAATAAGCAATCTGTTCAAACTTGAATCAAATGAACTTTGAAGGTTTCTTCGTTGTTTCTCTCAGTCGTCTCTGCTCTGCTCTGCTCTGCTCTGCTCTGCTCTGCTCTGCTCTGCTCTGCTCCTCTCTTCGTTAATTTATCTTGCTCTTTAAATATACAGAAAGAACTAAACACAACTACCACTCCACCGAAGACCAAGGAGATGCCCATGGCAGTCCACAAAGTCGTCCTAGAGCGTCCTGAAAATGCCATCATTGCAGACATTATACCAGAAAATAGATCAGCAACATTCAACGTCTACTTCAGATACAATTCCCAACCAACCCTGACAGAATACGACTTCCTTGATACTCTTCCTCGTTACCCCGTCAACGAGTCATCAAAYATCACTAGTCCAGGGCCTTACACGTTTTTTGCCTTAAGTGAACGGACCAATGGAAGTGGGGACTACTTCATAGGAGTAATTCCTGTGGACAGTCAAGGCAGTGTAACTCAGGAACAGCAGTTAAATTACACATTTGATGTCTATTCTTCTGGTTGCTATTTCTGGAGCGAAATTAAACAGATTTGGACAAGCGAAGGATGCAAAGTATGTAAATAGTTAATCATCTAGTTTTTCATGAATTGAAGGCTTCAGACAAATTGATCTTGTAGGTTTGATAACAGCCATCACTGCAATTCATTGATTCTTTGTCACGAGTTAAGCTAGCAAATAGGCCCTTTGCAGCTAAGCAATCACGTTCTGATTAATTCACTGAGAGTAAATGAATGGACATTTTGATTCCCATGGGTGAAATATACTGATGAGCAAACAAAATTTCTAACAACCTGTTTTGAGAGATCGTAATAAAACTGCATTTCGTAACACACTGGATACACATCTTTTCATTCAGTTCTTTACGAGTAGCTAAAAAGAATTACCAATTTAATATAAAAATATAAATTTTGCCCTACAGTACACTGGACACGTGACAGTAAACTGCAAAGGGCCTATTTGTAGCTCAAAGCATTAACATAAAGAAATTTCTAGAATTTTTCGCTCGCTGACCTAACATAAGTGCAATTTTTTTAAATTTCTTCAAATTTGCATCGAATCCTGAAACAACCTCWGTGTTGATCTATGTMAAGGCCAGCTACCTCCGCGATCTTGGGATTTAGCTTCATAGGTTTTGGGGATCCGAGGAAAAARAATCGGAGAAGCCGGAGTAAAGTCCTCAAATCAATTGGTAAACTCAATTGTACTCACATGGAATGAATTAAGAGTCAAGGAATCAAACCCGCGAGTCGTCCGGTACGAGAGAAATCTGCCACTTGTTTCATGCCATTATGCTAATCGACTCAAGGGAATATTACCCTGGAACAGATTTCTCGTTGACAAAGCAGCAATCTTGTAAGTCAAATAGGTCACTTGTATAGTGGTAGTAAAATGACTGCTCCATCGTGCAAACGGCCTATTGTACGAGTTCCTTTGCAATTTTGCAGTTAAACAAATAACTAATTTTTGCATGCATGTCTGTACGCGAAGCTTGCAAAGGAAGAGGAGTGGTTGCAGAAATTATATTATATTATATTATGGTTTGTTCTGATATTGCAGATTGGGAACAAGACGTCCAGATCAATGACCCATTGTCAATGTACGCATCTCACATGGTTCGGTGGAGACCTATTYATTCCCCCAAACAAACTGGACTTGAAAAAAAGCATAAATAATCTAGCCAATCTTTACGAGTCTCCTGCTTTGTTAGCTACAGTTTGTCTTGTGGCCACGATGTACGTAATAGCCTTGGTATTTGCTCGGCGCTGGGACAAAAAAGACACTACAAAAGTGGGCCTTATTGCTGTGCCTGATAACGACCCGACAGATCGATTCCGTTACGAAGTGACAGCATACACAGGCAGGATGGGAAGGTCAACCACAAGCAATGTCTCGATTATACTTTATGGAGAACTAGCAGAAAGTCATCCAATCACGTTGATAGACAAGGAGAGGCAAGTCTTTGAATCAGGAAGCGTGGATTCATTCTTTGTCACCGTTCCTCAAGCTTTAGGTCCTTTGAACTACATCCGAATATGGCACGATAATTCTGGGTCATGGCCTGCGTGGTACCTTAATCAGGTCATCATTCGGGACATTGATACTGATGAGCGCTTCGTGTTTTTGTGTTACCGCTGGTTTGCGTGCGACGAGGACGACGGTCAAGTTGAACGCATCATCCCGATAGCCGGGAAAGAAGAGCTTCAAGAATTCACATACCTCTTTCGTAATCGYGCAAAGAAGGATTTCTCTGATGCACATCTGTGGTTTTCGATCGCTCTTCGTCCTCCACGCAGTCAATTCACTCGCGTCCAACGAGTCACTTGTTGTCTTTCTATCCTTCTTTGTACAATGTTGGCAAATGTMATGTGGTATGATATCCCACAATCAAAGAACAATACAGTTATCTTTGAGTCTGGTTTCATACGCATTACATGGCATGCAGTTGTCGTGGGATTTTATTCGAGTTTGATCGTCTTCCCCATTAATCTTCTCATCGCGCAAATTTTTCGAAGCCTCGAACGACGTCCAAAGAAACCACGAAAACCTGCACACGAAAAGAGCGAAGAAGCGAAGGAGGTCCAGAAATCCGTCCTGAAACTCAATGACATTCACACCATCACGCGAACAGATTATTCGGWATATTACCCTGGAAAAGATTTTTTGATGAGCCCCAAGAAAGTATGTTTAGATCCGCAAGATGCCTACGATGATGATGATCTCCTGTGTCTTTTGATGGAAAACCGTCTGTTGGATGAACATTATCTAAAACACTCGACACAGCCAACGCTACACACGCCTATTAAAATAGGGTCAAAAGACCTGTTTAAGAGTGACATCCAGCAACCCTTTGATCAGGATGATATTAGAAAGAAAGGTTAGAAAAGAATGATTTAAGTAATAAAGGGGGGCGGAGGGAACCTTAATAGAACTGGTTTTCGTGTTGTAACGGAAGTCATTTTTCCATATGGTGCATATCAGCTTACAGGATCTCTTCCTGATTTAAAAGCCCTTAAAAAATAGATAAGTATTTACTACTATTTTTTTTTTTTAGCTTTTTGCGTTGCTGAGATATTCAATATAGAAATCACGAAGTGATCCTTAAAGAAAAGCAAATCGTCAAATAGAGAATATCTTGTGAGAATTGCCCTATTTCACATGACGTCACATCAAAACAATCTATYGTTTAAACGCAAAGGATCATGGTCGTCGGAGGGGGTCAAATCAACGCAAATTCACCATAAAYTGTTCTAAAACCCGTATCAATCCATGAAGAGAAGTAGGATAGCCAGCAAACGCTCAGAATATTTTTTAGTACATATTAACACATATTATATCTGTAAACCAGGCCATTTTAGATTAAACTGTTTCGCTAGGGACAAATTTTGTTGAATTTTCTACTGGATTTGGCGATTCTRTCCCCACATAAACAATCAGTGACGTCATAGGGAAATAGGGCAATTAGCTCAAAATGCTTGAATCTTATTTGAGCTAGTTCTCGCCTATCGCCTTTGGCTCCGACAAACGTTTTTTTAAATGGTACATAACTTATTATCAACAGCATCTACCAGTCCTGTGTCTGAATGCAGTCTCGACTTTAACGACAGCTCACAACTAGTCAAGCCCGAGAAGCCCAAACGCAATCCAGTCATCATCAAAGTGCCCAAACCAAAGTTCCTGCTTCCCTGGTGGTTTGTATTTGTGGCGTGGTTTCTCTGCATAAGCACATCTCTCGTTGCAGCKTTCTTTACCTTGCTCTATGGACTGAACTTCGAGAAAAAAGTCCAGGAGGAGTGGCTTACCGCTATGTTCATATCCCTGATTCAAGATATCTTTATCTCCCAGCCTCTCAAGGTTATTGGCTTTGCATTGTTTTTCGCTCTTATTCTCAAGAAACCTGACAAAAGTGAGGAAAGTCTTAACGCGGAGCTGGCGAARGACGAGGAATGGCTGAAACAGAATCTAAGAGGACGAAGACGAAATGCACTCATAGCTGAACAACCAAAGTACATGGCTCCCGACGAGGTAAACCACCTTTTAAAATAGATMTTTAAGGCGCCAATTTAAATCTTTTATTCATTTCCAACCGTTATATGAGTTTGCAAGCAATAGTCCCCTTCACAGTTCKTTACGCCATCTTGAAAGRTAATCGTGCCTGTGCATCGAAGCGAGGATGAGCGACGGCGGTAACCTTGCAACACCTTGAAAGATAGACTATTTCGTTGATACGGCGGCTCTCTTGAATGCAAGACATTATTTGGTGTCCAGGGGGCAAATAAAGCTTTGTTACAGTAATGACCTTGATTGATATTAACAGCTCACCACAAGAGAATACAACACCGAAAAAGATGGATTAAGTCGACACATCGATCACCCATAATAAAAAGACAACTTACAATACTCTATATATTTTTCGTCATCTTTGTCAGCTCTGTTTTGCCCCTTGGCAAGATGCATGGCCGCCAAATCTTCTAAGTAGTCTATAATTCACATGTCTGTATCATTGCAATGTCACCGCCGTTCTCGATTCGATGCACAGACACTGTTACCTTTCAAGATGGTGCAGGGATTTGTGAAGGGGACAATCGTATCAATTAGTGAAGACGAGTGCTCAAATGAAGCAAAATCATTCCTTCCCTTTAGTGTTATGTTTTTAGCTAGACAAACGCCTAAACAACGACGAAAAAAGACTGTTTTTGCTTCCATATAGTTTCTAAAGCATAAATTTCAATTTTTTTCAATGCTCAGTTWAAAAAAACAGTTGAAGATATTTATGGGAGCTCATAACTTTTTCAAGAATGCACRAACTTCAATTGCAGTTAATGGTTACCAATAAGTGACCTAAATATCCCTCTTTTGAGACAAAAACGTCAAAGAAGTTCTTTTGTGTGCAGGAGCGATATTGAGATGGAGAGGGAGGTTTAAGCATCTCTGTTTTAAATCCACTAAATTTTCAAGTCTTATTCTGACACTTTTAGGGCGCTTTCCATTAAGTCGGAACCAATCGGCCAGAGCGCTAACGATCAGTTATGGTACTTGGGACCAACGCGGCCAGAACCGACACGAGTGAAAAACGTCTGCGCATGCTCTAAATCCGTATGCAAATTACTCAAAACATATGTAAATTTGACTTTCAAACATGCCTGATAAATTGGACTTCACAAAATGCCAAAACTTGGTGTCCATGCTTAAAACTTAAGGSTAATTCTTTCATATTGTGTTTGTTAATACAGTATCTTGGTCTGACAAAAGCATACTCATGAAATGTTTTGTATACTTGGAGAAAACAAACATTTATTTCCTCACCCAAACTCTTCAAAATTTTTAGAAAACGTGCTGAAATGCACGTATGCGCAGAAGTTTTTCTCTAGTGTCGCCCGAACCAGTTCTAAGAACTGTAGAGCACCACTTGAGAACTGGCCACTCAGACCGATCGGTTCGACTTGAAATCGTGGAAAGTGCCCTTAGTGTTATACATACCAGTCTACGTACTATACGAGGCACCCACTTGCGATGCCTCTCCGTGGTTCTTGATCTAATTTCATCTTTACCTCCGTATGCAAATTACCCATTTCAGACCACGTGACATTCTCCTGAGAATTGTTCTTTTATGAGGAATATGTTAAAATATTTACACATGAAAGAATCAACTTTCAAGAGTGGCATCTCATGSTCTGTAATGGGGCAACAAACAGTGAAGGTTAATAGGTCTATTGCTTCTTGTCTGAAAAAAGTGTGATTTTAGAGTCGTTTTCCCCCACAGGCCATGCTAAAGAAAGCCCGGATTCGCCGTTTCAAGGAACGTAAAATGTATTCAGTCATTCGAGAGATTGTCTTGTACGCCATGTTCGTATGGGTTGTGCTGTTGACAGCTTACGGACACAAGGACCCTGACGCGAATTTGTTGAATCAAGGGATGGAAAACATGCTGACGGGAACCGGAAATAGCTGGCTCGTTGATTATAAACCCAAGAAAGCAAAAAACCAGACAGATAGAAAGTTTCTTATGGTGAGTAGAGCTAGGGTTACTGTCTTACATTTAACATCCACTCATCCATCCATCTATCCATCCATCCATCCATTTATCCATCCATC